CAATGGGTCAAAGTACACAATTTAAGTGTTTCGATTTTAAAGATCACAAGTTTTATGATATAGAAACTGATATAGACCCAGAGACAAATTTCAGTCATAATACTAAACCACACTGTGAATATTATTCAGAAGGCAGTGTTAATGTGGGGTGGGGGGGGCTTCTCACTTATTCACTTTAATAGTAGGAGCATGCAAAGCAATTTCTCTAAAATAAAAAGCTGCCTTCAAACATTTGATGAGAAATTTAGTGTAGTAGCAATCTCAGAAACCTGGATCACTGAAGGAAATGAACTGTTGGATGGTCTGGATGGATATCAAATGTTTGTTCAAAACAGGTTTAACAAAAGAGGAGGAGGTGTTGCACTGTTTATTCAGTCAGGACTGAAATGTAAGGTTATTGATAAAATGACATTTTCAGTTGATAACTTGATGGAATGTTTATCTGTTAAAATTGAGGGTAATAGATCTGAGCATATGTTAATTAGTTGTGTTTATCGAACTCCTAGCTCATGCATAGATGAGTTTAGTAAGAAAATATTAGAGATGTATGAGAGGTATAATGAAAAATTTACTTTTATTTGTGGGGATTTTAATATTGATTTGTTGAAATATAATGAACATAACAAAACAACTGAATTTGTCGACACAATGTTTGGTTTAGGTTTCTATCCATTAATATTAAGACCTACTCGAATAACCAAAGACAGTGCTTCACTGATTGACAATATTTTTATAAATAAGTTCAATGTGAAAACAAAAAGTGGACTGTTGATAACTGATATTACTGATCATTTGCCAGTGTTTACTGTGTTGGATACTAGTCATCAGTTTAATTTAAATGTGACAAAGCCAGCTCCTAATCTAGTTAGAGCTACATCACCTGAAGCTGTGGAAGAAATGAAAGCAGAGTTACTAAATTATAATTGGCAAAATGTTTTTGTTGATGACGTCAATGAGTCATATAATACATTTTTGGAAATATTTGAAAGAAGCTATAATCATCATTGTCCCTTTAAAGAATACAAACAAACATCAAAAAACCGATTGACTCCCTGGATGACAAAGAGTCTGGAAAAGTCGTGTAAAAAGAAAAACAAGTTATATACGGATTTTATTAGGTGCCCAACCCAGGAAAAAGAAGACAAATATAAAAAATATAAAAACAAATTAACATCAGTGCTGAGAAAGCAAAAACTATATTATTATGATACGCTATTGCAAAAATACAGCAATGATATTAAGGGTACTTGGAAGATAATTAATAGTGTCATTAAAAATCATAAAGACAGAGATTTTGCAATGTGTATTAAACATAATAACACCACAATGGAAAATAAAGAGGATATTGTTGAAGTCTTCAATCAGTTCTTTGTTAATGTTGGTCCTAATTTAGTAAATGAGTTGCCAAAGGCTAGAGATGAAAAACTCAATTATACATTTAATAATATTAATACAATGTTTCTTGGAGGAGTGAGTGAAAGTGAGGTAATCGAAGTAGTTAAAAAATTAAAAAATAAGAAATCCAAAGACTGTAATTATATTGATATGGCTATTGTGAAAGAAGTCATTTATAGTATTATTAAACCTATCACCTATATCTGTAAGGGATCATTCTTAACTGGAGAATTTCCTGATAAAATGAAAGTAGCCAAGGTGTTTCCAGTCCACAAAAATGGTAATAAGCAAAATGTAACAAATTATAGACCTATTTCATTGCTACCACAGTTTTCTAAAATCCTGGAAAAAATATTCATAAAAAGGCTGGACTCCTTTCTTAATAAAAACAATATATTAAATGAACACCAGTACGGCTTCAGAAACAACTACTCCACAACTTTAGCTGTGATGGAGTTTGTGGAACACGTTGCTGCAGCAGTTGATCGGAAACTTAATACAGTGGGAGTGTTCATTGATTTAAGTAAGGCGTTTGACACTATTGACCATGAACGACTACTGTGGAAATGTGAACAATATGGCTTACGGGGGGTTACACATCAGTGGTTAAAGAGTTACTTGAATAATAGATTACAATATGTACAAATTAACAATACAAAGTCACAAACTGAAACTATAAAATGTGGTCTTCCTCAAGGCTCGGTTCTAGGACCTAAATTATTTATACTTTATGTGAATGATATATTTTTACAGTATCCAATATGTTGAAATTTATAATGTTTGCTGATGATACAAATTTTTTTCTTTCTGGAAAGAATATGGATGAACTAATACAAATAGTAGAAAAAGAGCTAGCTGAGTTAAAAAAGTGGTTTGATTACAATAAGTTATCATTAAATGGACAAAAAACAAAATTTATGGTATTTTCTGGTAATCGGATTTACAATAATGTAAAGTTACATCTAAATGGAGTTGAAATCGACAGAGTTTATGAGACAAAGTTTTTAGGTATCATTCTGGATAACAAACTTAGTTGGAAGCCTCATATTGAATATATTAGAAATAAAGTCTCAAAAACTGTTGGAATATTGTTTAAAATAAAAGATTTAATAAATGTAAAAGGCTTGCATATTATATACTCTTCTTTGGTTATGCCCTATTTGTCATACTGTGCAGAAATATGGGGAAATGCTAATAAAACAACTATTGACATATTAGTAAAGTTACAAAAAAAAGCAATTAGGCTTATTAATAAAGTGGGATATTGTGAACCAACTAATAAACTTTTTATTCAAAGTAACACCTTAAAAGTTAATGACATTGTAAATATAAAAATACTGGAAATAATGTATAAAGCAGTGAATAAAAGTCTTCCTTCTGGAATTCAGAAATTATTTAAGTTAAGGGAGAGTAATTATAATTTACGAGATTTATTAATATTTGAACAAGCTAAAGAGAAAAGTAAAGTAAAATCTAGATGCATTTCAGTTGTCGGTGTGAAATTGTGGAATGAATTGAATGATGAACTCAAATTATGTGCTTTTTTGTTGAGCTTTAAAAGGTCCATAAAAGGTAAAATTATAAAAGCTTATACTGTTATGTAGATGTATATATGTAGTGTTTAACAATGTATGTATGTAATGTAAGTATGCTTATACATATACACAGACATATTTTTATATAGATATGTGTATATGTAATGTATGTATATATATATGGACAGTAGATATATTTTATTATTGAAGACTGCTGAGTCTATGAACAGGGTAGGCAAGTATAAGCCTCGGCTTCAGCCTATTCCTTTTTTGGTAAATTATTGATTTGTCAAAAAGTAGTCTATATTGTTTTCCTTTTCTGTAATGCTAATTTACCAAAATAAAGTTGAGTTGAGTTGAATCCTCCTATGTTTGGGGGGTGAGGGGTGGGGGGAGGGGCTAGGTGTGTTTGTTCTTTTTTTCTCCTTTTTTAATTTTTCCCTTCTTTTTTCTTTTTTTCTTTTTTCTCTTTTTTGTGTGTTTTGTTTGTTCTGTCTGAAGTCCACGACCATCTCCTTCGTCTTCCTCACATTGATGTAGAGGTTGTTCTTCCTGCACCAGCTCTCTAGGTGTTCCACCTCCTGCCTGTAAAAACATAAATATTAGTTGACGTTTCCATTATAAACTCTACTGAAATACAGCCAATTGGCTCCCAGATACTGAGACAGCTTTATATAATCTGGAAGAGCTGGATGATCAAATAAAAAAGCTCAAAGTGTTATTAAAGGACAGGTTTTGGAAAACACACAACTACTACTATTACTATATCATATTACCTGGACTGCATATTTCCACCTTCGAAACATCAACCGTCTCCGTCCGTCCCTCTCTCCGCACTCTGCTTCCATCCTGGTCCATAGTTTGGTCATTTCTCAAATTGATTACTGCAACTCTCTCCTAGTTGGTCTGCCGCACAAATTACTCTGTAAGCTTCAAATGGTTCAAAATTCAGCTGCCCGCATCGTTACCAAAACCCCCTCATTTCACAACATCACCCCAGTTTTACAGCAACTTCACTGGCTTCCAGTCACTTTCAGAATTCAGTTTAAAATCCTGTTGTACACAATCAAGGTCATCTATAACCTCACCCCTCTCTATCTGTCCGATATCCTGCAATTTATCACCCATTCACACTCCCTTTGTTCTTCCTCTTCCATCCACCTGTTAGATATTTATCTAGACTGGTCTGGGGTTTTTGATCTGCTCAGAGCCAGTGACCCACAGTCAGCCCTCGTCTCGTCGTAACACACCTCACCGTGCCTCTCGTCCGCCTCAGCACCATGGGACACAGAGCCTTTTCTCACTCTGCTCCCCAACTCTGGGACGCTCTTCCCCTCAGACATCCGTAATACTGACTCCCTTCAGACCTTCAAATCACAACTCAAAACTCATCTGTTCACGTTAGACTTCTCACTTTAATTTCTTGTTATTTTCTTCTTGGTTTTGTTATTATAGCCATTTTATAATGTTTTATTTTGTATTTTTAATGTTGTGAAGTGTCCTTGGGTGTCTTTAAAGGTGCTAACAAACACAATGCATTATTATTATTAATCTCCTCCTACATGTCTCTGTGTGAGTGCAGCTACAGCGTGCGCTCTCAGGACATTATTACCTGCAGTGTTCTCTCAGTGCGGACTGAACTTGACAAAAGGGCCTTCTCCTACTCCGCTCCTGTTTCCTGGAATATCTTGTAAAAAGACCTGAAGCTCTCAACCTTTGACCTGTCTAAGTAGCTTTAAAAATCTGTTGGAGTCCTGGCAAGGCAGACATGTTCCTGTTTTTAGTTTTTTTACATTTGCCTTATAATCTAGATGTTTTGTTACTCTTTTTGACATTTTATTTGTTAAAAAAAATCTGTATGCCTTTTTATATTTGTCTATTGTTGTCGCTGTTGTCCATTGTTGTCATCACTCTTTGTTGAAATCAGGTCTCTCTTGTCAATGAGTCCTCGAGGCTCAATGGGATTTACCTGTCTAAATAAAGGTTGAATTAATTATTACTGAGAAGAACCAGCAGCGTTTTTAAGTAGCAGTTGATCGTTTCTGACCCGTGTCTCTTTGCTGTCTTTAGGTGGGTGAGGTTTGAGGAGAAGGTGGAGGAGGGAGGAGAGAGGTGGAGTAAACCCCATGTGTCTACGCTGTCCTTGCACAGTCTCTTTGAGCTTCGGACCTGTCTCCAAACAGGGACAGTGCTGCTGGATCTAGAAGGCTACTCCCTGCCTCAAATTGTTGGTGAGGCGTTCATGTTGACTGACACAAGTTTGCTTTAGAAGTCTACTCTGAGACAACAGAAGATAAAACTAGACCAATATGGTCTCTCCTAACTCATCAGTCTGGGAGAAGCAATTCAGATCGACTGAAGACTTTTCTAAATGTTTTTTTTGGAGATCTGGATTAAAAAAAATAACAGTGCAGCCTAGAAAAAGTGATACATGAACAGAGCAGTTTGTCTCTTCAGAAAAAAACATTCTAATTTCAGTGGTATATTCAGCTGGAAGAGAGCACTCTGATGATATAACCCCACATTATATATGTATATAACCTCAAAATTATATATTTATACAACCCCACATTATATATT